AAAACCTCAGTTGACTCCCAGAACTATGTTTCGTCTGGTTACTGGGGGATTTGGGATATTGCCTTACTTTTCAGCGCTTGACTGTGGATTACCTTCTTTACCAGCGGAGATTGTGGAATTTAATATTGCCGCTCCGCTACACACACCTGGAATGGCAGCAAAGGACGCAACATGGAAAGAACTGGACTTCAACAGATCTGCCATCTGTACCAGAGCGGGGAACTGGTAAAGTTTGAAGACCTCCAACAGCGGCAACATTTAACCCCGGCCGATTTCTTCAGATATATACAACTACGGTACTATGCCAGACAATCACATATAGCGGCAGCGGCCCAAAGACCACTTACTTTTTACAAACGGCTGTGCTCGGCGGGTACGGCACCCAATGGATTAATAACAACGCTTTACGCGCATCTCTACGTGGAAAATAAGGAATGGGACAGGTTGACATATACCGATCAATGAGAGGTGCTGGAGGGCATCGAATGGCAGGAGATATGGGAAGCGAATAAAAACGCCTAGATATGTGTAATGCTGCAGGAACAAACATGGAAAACCATGTTTAGGTGGTATACTACACCAGTAAAGCTCTTTTGGATGAGTAAACTGGATACGGACGACTGTTGGAGGGGATGCGGAGCTAGAGGCACATATCTCTACATGTGGTGGGAATGCCCGATCATTCAAGGCTTCTGGAAATTGGTTGAGAACCTACTGACCCAGACTTTTGACTGGCCCCTGGTGTTGGACACGTGGGTATATCTCTTCAATAGAACAATAGAGGGATGGACTAGGAGAGAAAAAAAATGAGTGCACAAAATTTCCTTAAGCGCACGACGAGCGATAGCAGCTGCATGGCTGACACCAGAAGGTCCTGTTTTTACGGGCGTAATATCTAGGATTAGAGAAACAAATTGATGGATGACCTGACAGCTAGAATGAAGGGAACCACGTTAGCTTTCCAAAAAGTTTGTGAACCATGGGATAACAGCGCAGTGGGCTCGAGTAATGACTGAAGGAGATAGAACAGGGGCTCAGGAGATTACGGTATAAAGAGAGTGAACCAGGCCCTTATGGGTCGGGTGACTTTTTGATGATGGGTGGCGGTCCGGCCTGCTTGCTCCCCCACGCCTCCTTCCCCCTCCCCTTCCTTTCTTAATCCCTCTTTTTTCTTCTTTCCTCTGTTTTTTTATCTCAGCCCTTGATATTCAAGGGAATTCTCTATGGTCAGGCCGAATTGAGTTAATAGAGAAGGTTGGGACCAAGGAGCGAATGGAAGATGGGCCACGATATAGGGTTCTAACAGATAATATAGTGTCTGACCAAAACCTTAAACAAAGGATTGCTTTGCGTTTCAAAAATGTAACTTCTAAAAAAAAACTGGCGGACAGTACGGAGCTTGGTCCTGCCAAAAGCAAAATGTGGTTATATCGCTAACAGTTTAGCTATATTGAATGTTGAGCTTTGAGAATTGTGATTGCGGCTTCTGCGCAAGCCAGAATGTACTTGGTGTGTTACTGTTCCTGCCGAGTGAAAAATAAAGAATTTTAAAAAATTTTAAAAAAAAGTGGGCCAAAAAGTTGCATAGAAAAATACACTTTAATACAACTAATTTACAATGTCAAACTTTTTCTAATTTGGGAATATACCGCTTATAGACTAAGGAGTTCCATCTTCCCAGTCTCTTGATGAAATGAGACGGAACTGTCCACTTAAGTGAGGGGATAGGGTTTATATAACCCCTCCCACAAATACAGGCCTGTGGCCTTAAAACATATGTTAAAGGAACAAAAGGAATCAAAAAGCAGGTCTCCCAGTATTCTTGTTTTTGACATGACTGACTCCATTTTAGCAATGTCCTGAAGATGGCGTCCCGCATCTGTCCCTGGGCAGCACAGCGTGAATGCACCATTAAACGTTTTCACGCTGCCTGCACTGTCTGTGATTGCTAAGCAATCAATTAAAGCAGCAATCAAATCACCATAAAAACTACATTCAAATTTATTTATTTTTTCAAATCAGGTGTATTGGTGTAAATTTTGCAATCTGGTTTGGAATTCACTACAAGGCCCTGTTAAGTAAATAACCCTTTAAAGGTTTCAGCACTTCTGTAAAGATCAGCCTTAATGTGATTGTAGCGAGTTAATGGCCTTACAAGTCAAGCGGATATAATTTGCCTAATTTCTCTGGTGTAAATTGGTTTGCAATAGGCTTTTCGTGCCAGCCTTATAAGCGGTGTGTCTCCGGCCTCGTACCTGCCTCCCCTCTCCTTCATTATACCAGGGTGAAATCCCTGCTTTGCATGCAAATTATTTTGTCTGCCCTTTACAGGGGACTCCTCTGTATGATACTATAATTTACTAACCCAAAAGCAGTAAAATTATGAAATTAGACATCCATAAAGCTTTACTCAAGGTTTAAAAAATTATTTCCACATCATTTGGGATTTTCCGCTCTATTAATCTGCTTTCAATCTCTCAATTTTAGATTTTATTTTTTTCTCTCCAAAACTTTGTATTATTTGTATTCGATATAAAAGCCGTTAGCATAAATTGCCCGGCTGCAACAAATGCATTTTAGCCTTAGGGTCTGAGCTAAATAAAGTGTCTGAGTTCAGAATACATTTATTTTTTGTCATGCGAGATGTGCTGTATATGTGTGTTTCCACACACCTTCATGGTTTTAGATTTCATTGGGTAATCCATTGCCATCTAATTACGAGGCCATAATAAACCAGGCAGTTCAATTTCTCCAAATCCACAACTTTTTCAAATTGGTTTCAATTCAACACAAAGTTCTGTTTAGTGAAAAACAGGATTAAAACTAAGGGTTAACCAAGTACCATAACCACTTCGATGCGCCAGGGTAACATTTGGTAAATAAACCCAAATGTTACCCTGTGCCTTCATAAATACACCCAAATGGTAGTCTGGGCCTTTATAAATATACCCAAATGGTAGTCTGGGCCTTCATAAATACACCCAAATGGTAGTATGGGCCTTTATAAATATACCCAAATGGTAGTCTGGGCCTTCATAAATACACCCAAATGGTAGTCTGGGCCTTTATAAATATACCCAAATGGTAGTCTGGGCCTTCATAAATACACCCAAATGGTAGTCTGGGCCTTTATAAATATACCCAAATGGTAGTCTGGGCCTTTATAAATGTACCCAAATGGTAGTCTGGGCCTTTATAAATATACCCAAATGGTAGTCTGGGCCTTTATAAATATACCCAAATGGTAGTCTGAGTCTTTATAAATAAACCCAAATGGTAGTCTGGGCCTTTATAAATATACCCAAATGGTAGTCTGGGCCTTTATAAATACACCCAAATGGTAGTCTGGGCCTTTATAAATATACCCAAATGGTAGTCTGGGCCTTTATAAATATACCCAAATGGTAGTCTGGGCCATTATAAATATACCCAAATGTTACCCTGTGCCTTTATAAATATACCCAAATGGTAGTCTGGGCCTTTATAAATATACCTAAATAGTAGTCTGGGCCTTTATAAATATTACCGGACCTGGGATATTAAGGTTTCGGTTGTTTTTTCTAGGTTGTTATGAGAAATGCAGGATAGAAGATGCTGGGTTAGTTATACATTGTCTATAATAAACACAATGCAGTAATATCCAGAATGTACAATGGATCATTAACAGACAATATTAAGAAATGTTAGGCATTTGTGATTTCCCATCATTAAGATAATCGTAAAGACAATGTATCTGGCCTGGGCAGGCTTACTTTCAGTTTGTCAGTTGTGACGTGGACAATGTAGCCACCAGACACCACACTCTGTGGGCCTGTTCAGAGCTGGTCCAAATCACCTGATTACATAGCCAGAGAGGTTTAATGAAATGTGTAACTGCGTGTTATCTAGCCGTTTCACCTTCTTCATGTCCATAGCCATAACTCTGATTGGTGAAAAAGAGATCTTTTCACGCATGATACAGTGAGTTCTAGTGACACGTTCTCTGACAAGCATTGTGAGGGACATAGGATAGTTCAATAGCAATAATCTTCTGTTGATACCTGAGTCTCCGACACCAGTTGAGAAGTTTAGTGGACAGTTCAAAAGCTTTGTGAGTATATATAAAATCCCCCCAAATAAACAAAACCTATTGGCCTGTCCACTTGTGTTTTATCATGTTTTGTTACATGGTCTCATTATGTCTAGATTTTTTCTCTCTTTTTCCGATTCTTTTCTCTCCTCTCCCCATTGCCCCCTTGCATCGTATGATGAATATTTAATTATTTCCTAATGCCAAGCACTAACCTTCACCCCCTCAAGTCACTATTGACTCTGTTTGCCTACTATTATACATGTTCTGCCCAATGATATAATGCCATCGGGCGCTTTTACTGTCAACTGAAACAGTCTACACAAAGTATTTCATTAATAAAAAAAACTGAAATGCTACTTTGACAGAATAGGAGGCGTCCATGTGACAAGACATTTTACATTATTGACTTTGCTCCCTCCTTTTGATAGGTAAGATACACAGTTAATTTAATCACTATAAGAATTAATGTACTGTACCATTTAATACGATTTTACGACAGACATTTTAGTGGGATAAAGGGAAAAGTGGGTGGAAAAACCTGATCGCATCTGTGCGTCTGACCGTGAATAGGAGACATGTCATTTTATTTGCTATGAGTCAGCCGCTTACTTAATAATCTTGTCCACTTCCTCCCGCTAAGTGCAGCCATCAAAGTGTCAGACACCGCGTTCCTTACATTTTCGAAGGAAGGATGTAACTTTTGTAAAAAAAAGCTCAATATGTGTAAATTCAGCAGAAAAAATGTTCTACACCGAGTGCGTGCTGTGTCTGTTATAATACCTAATGTGTCTGTTACTGTGTATCATGATATGGTGGCCACGGTTTGTGCTACATATCATATGTGGCTGTTATCATTTGTGGTGTTTATCATGTTCTGGATCTTACAGTTTGTGGTACCTATGATATTTGGCTGTTATCATTTGTGGTATCACACTGTGTCTGTCATGCTGTGGTTGTTACCGTTTATGTTACAATTCTTGCTGTGGCTGTTACCATTTGTGGTACCTATCATGCTGTAGTTGTTACCGTTTGTGGCACTTTTCATGCTATGGCTGTGACTAAACGTGGTGCATTCTATGATGTAACTGTTACTTTCCATGACATGTATCAGACTGTGTGATCCTGCCACTTTCCATGATGCTGACAGACTGTGTGATCCTGCCACTATCCGTGGTGCTGACAAACTGTGATCATGTCGTCTGTGAGTACCACGTATAGCGGCAGGATCACATAGTATGTCAATAGCACTGATAGTAGTAGGATCATGTAGTCTGTCAATACCACATATCACACAGTCTATCAGCACCATGGATAGTGGCAGGATCACACAGTCTGTCAGCACCATGGATAGTGGCAGGATCACACAGTCTGTCAGCACCATTGATAGTGGCAGGATCACACAGGTGGTGGTGCAGACAAACTGCGTGAACCTGTGGTATTGACAGACTACATGATCCTGCCACTATCCGTGGTATTGACATACTATGTGATCCTGGGATCCTGTGAACTTATGTATACTGTCTGTGGTACTAACAGACTGCATGATCCTCCCACTGACCGTGGTACTGACACACTGCATGATTCTTCCACTGTCCATGCTCCTTGCAGACTGTGTGATCCTATCTCTGTGGCGGACCGCCTGGTACCCCAACTGGGTACCTCCACCAATCACGCTTCCTAGTTATCACTGAGTACCATAAGCACTTTGCCGGGACACCATAAGCACTTCCAGCCCCAAGCCACCGCAGCTTGGTAGGGGTCTTGCTGCCTCTTCCCACCCTGGACCCAAGCCCTGTATCCAGCTCCCAGTGGTTAGAGCTCTCCTCCAGAGAGTATAGCTGTACAGCAAGTGATTATAGCAAGTATAGCATCCCCCCCCACACATTAGCCGAGACTTAATGCTGGGAGTAGACTGTCTTTATTCAGGGCCACACAAGGCCTTCTTATGCAAAAGTCCCATGCAAGGGGTCTCCAAGACAACATTACAGGGTCGTCCCTCCCATGATCCTCGGTGTCTGAGAGAGAATTCTGTTCACAGGTACAGAGAAATCTTTTTATTTTGTCACACATGGTTTGTTAGGCACAGACCCCTACATGGGGTTTACAACACAACACAACAGGAAAAGGAAGGGGGGGGCACAGACAAGCAATACATTCAGAAAAGGAAGGGGGAGAGGCACAGACAAGCAATACATTGTTAAATAGCCCGGACCCGAACCCCCTAAGCAGGAAAGCATGTGGGCATGGTACTTAGTGATGGCATTCCATCACACATCTCCCCCTTGTCCACCTCCGAAAGCCACAGCATGATCCACACGCATCAACATGCTGCTCTCTGGAGTGGACTCATAGTCTGTAAGTACCATGCCCGACTTTACATTTATTGTACTAATATCATGGCGCTCGCTAATACTGGGAAGTAAAATTTTACATATCATTAACTCCTTTGTAACCTCAGTATTCCCTCCCAAACAATCATACTAAGCCTAATATTAAAACTCAGATTACTGGAAACCTCTGACAGCTTTATACAAACACCGCAAACACAGAAAATGATTTTAATTTCCATCTGCTCTTCCCAGTTATTTGCGCTTCCAGCCAAGTGCGCACCTGAACCTTGCCTTATTGTGTTTGGACAAACCGCTGCTTGTCCTTGTCAGACAAATTAAGATGTCTTTGGATCTCCTCTCATCCTAAATCTTGTGTTCCCAAGATCTCTGCTGTTATTCCACCTTTCAATGTGACACCATATGGCAAAGCCGGCTGCCATGGGTCCAATTACCAATGCCACGTTCAACACATGTAGGGACAGTGAAAGAGTGTTTGAAATGTATCAGTGTAGACATGTCTAGAACGTAAAGGTTACAATGAAATGTCCTTTACCCACCCAGTGTGTCAATCAATGATGTTATTTATTTTCCCTCGAGCTGCAAACTTGGTGAAGATTACTGATAAAATAATATCTAACATCGTTGTTAAAGGAACAATTGGAACTTGTTATGATGCCAGGAGGTCCCTGGCACCGGCTTAACTTTAGAGGTGAAACCGTTCGTGAATCTACCTCTGCCCTTCCACTTCTCTCCGATTCTTGAAACATGAAGCGTCGAACAGCCTCAGACAGGTGCAACGTAGATTCGCTGAGAGCGTCAGCTGTTGCTATCCTCCAATCAGAAAATTTCCATTCACAACACAGCTTGAGAAATGTGCAGATTTTTCTCACGCCGGGAGCTGCTGATTGGCTTAGAGTTTCAGCTTATGTTTTCAGCCAATCTCCAGTGCCCCTGTCCAAGACTTCCTGTTTCAAGATTCGTAGAGATGTGGAAGGTGAAGGGCAGAGCTGAACAATGCTGGATTTAAGACTTTGGGGTTAAACCGTATGTGAACGGCTCAACGCCAAAGAGGTATTAACTTGCTTTCCAATGTGCATGTTAGAACCGTAGAATTCTGTAGGTAAAGATGGTTCCTACTTGGTTCACTACAGAAGAAGCTCCTGCTAAACTGGCTGTGCCCAATATCCTTCCACTTTCTGAGTATACTCCAAGGGGTGTATCAGTTATCCCGTAGCATAGAACAGTTTAGGACTACCCAGTGTCGACCTAGAACAACAAATACCTAAACTACAACAAAACATTATAAAAAATTCTATTGTGTTTATCATACTACTGGTCATTATATTTGGTTTCATCAAATTTCCACCTGTTAATTCTTTATATATACACATCATATCTTGTATACCATATTTATCATTATTTTTCCATCTTTTCTTATCTCGTGTAAGATTATCGTTGTTATTAGATTATTAAGCTTAATAATAATGTATTATATCTCTTACGCAATTCTATCTTATTATGTATACATTATATCTTCTGGTGTCTCTCTTAATAATCAATTCACTATTTCTATAGCACGTGTGAGCCTCTGACCTGGAACCCACTACGGTATGTTTGTGCCCGAGGCACAGTGAATGCAATCAGTGAGTGTGTTATATATAGTTGCAGGCTATGCGTAATTAACACTTTGCAAGCCACAGGAGCCGGCAGCATGACTGCTCAATAAGATCATCTGGCATCTGCCTGCCGGGGGCCACAAAGCAGCCATGTCACATGCAATTAAACTAGCGGAACAAGCTCATTCAACAAGATCCCTTCACTGTTTCTAATCATTGAATAAATATATAGACAGACTGCGAGGGGATCAGCCGTGACATCTGCACTGTACATACAGCTCATCACAGCAGCCTTAAAAAAAAAAACTAAACTTCGCCGTCTTATCAACTTAAACTTGCCGTGACTTCTTTTCAAACGCATGGTAATTCGCCACCTTTTGCTCCCAAATAAACTTCTTGTTTTTTTATGTGTCCTCTTTTCTAACAGAGCTTTTCGTAACATGTTGGACTTATCAGGAATAATTTTATACAGATAAAAAAAAAATCCTCTGATTAAATCACATAAATTAGGATGCATAATAAAGACTCTGTCTCCCCCCCCCTCCCACTCTCCTTCCCCGGGAGGTTTGACTGCTTTTTAAGAATCTGACCAACTTAATAGGCGCAGTCTTGGTGTCGGAGCCGCGGAGTGGCGTAACGCAGAGCTGGGCGGCTTGGGAATAAGCCCCCATCTGCTGCATAAACACGCAGAATAACTTCAGGCAGAATGGCAAATCACAAGACACTTCAAAGGCTGCAAAGCTTCACTTCGGTGTCAAAATGCAGCTTTCAGCATCCTGTGCTGCCTCCCTATTAAACATGAACTTTTGTACTTTGTCAGATATTTTAAAAAGCATGAAGCATAAGTTCATGTGCATTTCAAGTGTTTGTACCAGCTTGGTTGTTTGCCTAGCCCCCTTCTCAACGAACAGCTCATGCCTCACTCTTCATAGACCATCACACGCCCACAATCTCGCATGACAATCTGCCTCCTCCCTTATTACACACTGTACCTCCCTCACTAAATACAGCCCCCCTACATCACTGCACCTCCCTCACTACACACTGCACCTCTCTCACTACACACTGCACCTCTCTCACTAAATACAGCCCCCTCCATCACTGCACCTCCCTCACTACACACTGCACCTCTCTCACTACACACTGCACCTCTCTCACTAAATACAGCCCCCTCCATCACTGCACCTCCCTCACTACACATTGCACCTCTCTCACTACACACTGCACCTCTCTCACTAAATACAGTCCCCTCCATCACTGCACCTCCCTCACTACCCACTGCACCTCTCTCACTACACACCGCACCTCCCTCACTAAATACAGCCCCCTCCATCACTGCACCTCCCTCACTACACACTGCACCTCCCTCACTACACACTGCACCTATCTCACTGAACACAGCCCCCTCCCTCACTAAACAAAGCCCCCTTCCTCGCTGAACACAGTCCCCTCCCTTACTACACACTGCACCTCCCTCACTGAACACAGGCCCCTCCCTCACTAAACACAGCCTCCTCCCTCACTACACACTGCCCCCTCCCTCAATACACACGGCACTTCCCTCACTAAACACACACCCGTCTCTAATAAACACACACCTCCCTCCCTCACTACACATTGCCTCCTCCATAACTACACACTGCCTAATCCCTTACTACATACTGCTCCCTCCATCACTACACACTGCCTCCTCCCTCACTACATACTGCTGCCTCCATCACTACACACTGCCTACTCCCTCACTATACACTGCCTCCTCCATCAGTACACACTGCCTACTCCCTCACTACATACTACTCCCTCCATCACTACACACTGCTCCCTCCATCACTACACACTGCCTCCTTCCTCAGTACATACTGTCTACTCCCTCACTACACACTGCCCGCTCCTTCACTACACCCTGCCTCCTCCCGCACTACACAGTGCTCCTACACTCAGGACACACTGGTCTCTCACTTACTACATACTGCACCTACCACACTACACATTGCACACTCCCTCACTACTCCCTGCCTCCTCTCCCACTACACACAGCCCACTCCTTCACTACACACTGCATCCCCCTCACTACATACTGCTTCCTTCATCACTAAACACTGCATCTCCCTCATTACAATCTGCCTCCTTCCTCACTACACCCTGCCTCCTCACTTACTTCACCCTGCCTCCTCACTCACTACATACTACCCCCTCCCTTACTACACACTGCACCTATTTCCCTACACATTGCTCCCTCCCTCACTACACACTGCTACCTTCCTCCTAGTGGAGGAGGTACACACTGCAACTCCGCCATTACACATTGTTCCTTTACTTACTACAAAGTTCACCTCCCTGTTTACACACTGCCTCCTCACTCACTACACACTGTACTTCCACTCAGTACTCGCTGCTCCATCCCTCATTAAACATTGCCTCCTCCCTTACCTTAA